TCCTGCTGATGGTGATCTTTTGAAAGACGGGACTTTCTCGAACACTGATATTGCTTCTGGTGGTTCGGGCAAAGATCCGTTGTTCGACTTCAACTTTGCGGATTTGCAGATTCCCGACCTGGGTTTCTTCATGGAGGAGCCTCTGATCTCTGGCACAAATGGCCAGGAGCTAGACTTTGATGATTTCCTCATGGACGACTCTGAGCAGCTGCCTGATGACTTCTGCTTGCTGGACGATGTGAACATTCACGGATTCGAAGGCGGTGGTCCAACCGAGCTACCAGAATTTGACTTTGCAGATATCGACTTTGAGCTCGGTGATTCAAAGTTTGCCTTCCCCGATCAGCTCGCCCCCCTCAACGTTGCTTGCCCTTGAAGTTTTGCAGCCTATAGGATTTTTAGATTTTGCCCCCCGAAAACATGTTCTTATGAGCTTTTTTGTATTCACAGACATAACACACATGGTGGTGTGTCTGAAAAGAGTTTCTGGTTTTGTTTTGTTGTTGTTTCACCGGAGGATGAAGAAGCAGGGGGGAATTAGGTTATGGTCTCTGTGTTCAAATCCCTTTTCGGGTTTTTTCAAGTGCTGCAAGGGCCGTCCGAAACGGGTTTTGCTCAAGATCCATGTTTTGGCTCGCATCCCCTTCCATCTTCATCCCCCTTTTTGGTTCTCTTAAAGACTCTAATCGTAATCGAGGCTTTCTACTTTATGCGTTTCGGTTTTGCTGCGTTTGCGTTTTGTTGTTCCCTATATTCTGCCATGGTTATTGAATGGTGAAGCCCATATAACAGGACAATGCCACTTCTGAATCCGTATTATATCTGCAGTGTACGTATACGTATAACGTAATCGAGTATAAAAATCGAGGTGAATGATGCAAAAATCGTACATATATGTACGCTGCAGATATAATACGGATTTTTTCATGTATTTAACTTTGATCTCAGTTTTGTTCACTTAAATTCCGGCATGCTAATCAGTAAAATTCGAAAAATATTTCGAGGTTTGGTTAGAGAAAACTATATATATAATTATATACATATGACCGGGGGTGTGACAGGCATTTTTAAAGAATGTAGATGTTAATAGAATTTAGTGAAAGTATGGGGTTTAATAGCCACATTATGGAAAAGTAATGGGCTTCTTTCGGCAAGTGATCGTATTACATATGGGAAGTGGGTTAAGAAGCCCACGAGGGTTTATAAACATGATTAAATTCTGTTGATGGGCCCAACATCTGATCTCAATATCCATATACAGGTAAATGGGCTTTTTCTTCGGCCCATTGCGTATCATATTCCTCGCACCCAATGGGGAAGGCGTATTATACGGGAATTACGTAGAATATTTGCATGAAGTAACAAAACTAAACAAAATGGTATAATTCGGGATGCTTTTTAGAATTTTTGAGCCTATATAAAATTTAAATCGAATAATATACAATCAAATTCTGTCGAATAGTATTTTCTCAAAATTTTAAAAATTATATTCAACCGAATATAAATATAATAAAAAAGAACCAATTTTTTTTTTAAAAGAAAACAAATTCAAATCAAACAGGTTTAGCACTGAATAAAGTAAACTGAATCAAAACTGATACATAAAAAAATCAAATAAGTTCAAGAATTTAAATTATATTCAACTGAATATAAATATTACAAAAAAAAAGAATCAAATTTTTATTTGATATGAAAAATCAAATAAATAATGCTTTTTATGCAATGATCGAATAAGAACCCAAAATAAATATATAATCCTAATATAAAACAGTAGTAGTAGTATGAACCACAACATTGGGATAGCCGAAAGTTTAAACCTATGATTATCGTTCAGATGCATTGGACCTTATTTAACCGAAAAATCATTTGCTGAATCATAAGACACAGAAATCAAAGAGTGGGCCCCACGACAGTTTCCGGAAGCACCCACCCACTGTCCCCTTTCATCATTTTGTCAAACTTCTCGGCCATTCACATGTATGTATATATGTATGCATGTATGTGACATGAACTCTATCCATTAAGTTACCATAGAAGAAATAAAGAGAAGCGGTGAGAGAGCGTCATCGTCAGCTTTTTTTTTTTTTTTTTTTTTCA